TTTGGAGCACTTAATGCTTCCATCTGCTGAAAAGCTTTATGGAGATGAAGATTTCATTTTTTAGCACGACCTGGCACCTGCTCACAGAGCCAAAACCACTGCTAAATGGTTCACTGACCATAGAATCACTGGGCTCAATTGGCCTGCCAACTCTCCTGACCTGAACCCCATAGAGAATCTGTGGGATATTGTGAAGAGAAAGTTGAGAGACGCAAGACTCAACACTGGATGAGCTAAAGGCCGCTATGGAAGCATCCTGGGCCTCCATAACACCTCAGCAGGCTGATTGCCTCCATGCCATGGCGCACTGAAACAGTCATTTCTGCAAAAGGATTCCCCACCATGTATTGAGTGCATAACTGTATATAATTATTTGAAGGTTGACTTTTTTTACATTAAGAACACTTTTATTTCATTGGTCCGATGAAATATGCTAATTTTGTGAGTAATCTGGATGAACTGACTGCACAGACCATGTTTTCAGGTGGACTTCATACTACTTTTTACCCTCTGATCAAAGTAAATATAGCAAAGCTGCTCTCTGGCACTGAACACAGGAGCAGCAGAAACATCAGACACATCTGGACACACTTTACTGGACGTCTGACCAAATGCTACGTTCAGAATGCAAGCAGCAGAGGCAGCAGAAGCAGCTATATTATATGCAAAGTCAAAGGCTGAGGCGCATCAAGGCGCAGCAAAAGTTCCTGCAGCACATTTAAAAAGCTGAAGCAGCGCTTCATGAGCTTCTGAGCATATTAACGCCTAAATTAACTTAAAATTTGAAACCTCCCGACAAAATATGGTCAATTTTATTATTCTAGTTCCTGCAGTTTTGATTACGTACGTAAAAAAAAAAGCCTTCTAGTCGCCGCGACCAGAAGTGGAAAACCGCGAAGAGGCGACCGAGCCAGAGGCAGCTGTTGAAGGGGACTCCCAGTGACAGTGCACCGCCGACATGTGGGGGTCTAAGTTCCGACAGCTAAAGGATCGGGTAGCTCCACCCAACGCGCATCAGACCCACTTTTCGACAACGCAGTTAGTGAAGCAGAGATGCTTCAGCTGTGCGTCAGAACTAAACTTGTACAAGCATCAAAATTGAAGCAGCATGCACGTTTCTGCTGCTCCTGGTGCTTGCAATCAGTGTTGCCAACTCCTCAGTAAGGAAAGTAGCTATTGGCTGTGCTACAAGTCGCTAGAAGTCGCTAAATGACGTCATTGCCTAATTTGCATATATATTTTTTCCAACTTTTTTTTACTTTTTCTTTTTTCCCTTGCGGTCCACTAAGGAGCTTAAAAAGCATGGTAAAACATGGACATTTTCACCCATTACATTACATTAACAACAACAAAATCTAAAGGGAACAAAAAAAAAAGACTGCAAAGAATTAATGACAATGTGAGCAAATGATTGTAATTATTATTATTTTTTTTTAAATAATAACTAGATTTCCCTCCACACATACAGGCTGTGCTTGCCTGCTCACAGAAATATATGGCAGGTTCAGCAACTGAGGGAGCTGACTCAAGCGTGATCAACCTGCGCTGTCAACCCAGCGCACACGCGTGGTTCATTTGCAGTCAGGACGCTGAGGTTAAACGTGCTGTGGCTCTGAATCCAGTTGCCATATTTTTATATGTTGATATATTGACTCCGTATCGATCTATTTTACTAACAAAATCTCACAAGAATTTGCAAAATATCACGAGAGTTTGTAACAGAACGATGAAATTTCACGAGATTTTGAAAGTAAAATAGATCGATACCGCGTTTTTAAAAATCTATTTGATATCAGCATATGAAAATATATTTGAGTATATTATTTTTCAAAGTGTCAGAAATGGATAATAAAACTGCTTTTTTCAATGACTACTTATTTTTGTCCAGCTTTAACATCGGTATCGATATCGGTTATCGGCTACATGAGTTTTAAAATATTGGCATATCGGATATCGGCCAAAATCCCAATATCGTGCATCCCTAGCAGAAAGTCCTGTAGTGTGTTTTAAGCAGCAGAACTAAACTTGTACAAGCATCAAAAATGAAGCAACACGTGTTTTCGCTGCTTCTACTGCGTGCCGTCTCAACGTAGCATTAATGTGAACAAGCATCAAAAATGAAGCAGCAGAAAGTTTTTTGATGCTTAAAGCTCTTCCGGTGTGACCGTAGCATCAAGGCTGCAGAGCCCTGGTTTAGACCGTATGATCTCATATCTGTGAGGCTCTATTGTGGTGAAATGACTCCTCATGTGAGCATCAGTAAAGCAGGGTGGGGGGATGGCAGCCCCCCTCTGCCTACAGGACTGTAATCAGATGCAGGCCATCAGAGCGCAGAAGGACCGTTGACCATTATCTGCTTAACGAAGCATATCTGCTCCACTGACATCTTCAGACATATTCATGTTTCTGCAGAAGCCTTTACTGTTGAAAGCAGGACAGTTCGGTCATTTCCTCTTTCTTTTTATTCAGGGCTTAAACTTTTTTGCAGACACAGGTTCCTGCAACAACAAATGCACTGGAAAAAAAATAGAAATCTAGATAAGTCATTTTTTCTTAAAATAAGTGCATTTGTTCTTGGATTGAGGAGGTAAAAGAGACATTTTGCCAATGGAACAAGACAATTTACTCTAAAAATGAGAAATTATGTCTTATTTCAAGTGCATTTTATCTAAATATCTTATTTTAAGAGTAAAAATACTCATTCCACTTGCAAAATATCTAATTTAACTACTCAAATTAAGGGTAAATACACTTAATTTAACAAAATTTTACTTATTACTAGATCGTTTTTCCAGTGTGTCAATATTAGTCACTTCTGTTAAAATTGTTCCTTTACAAGCAGATTCGCTTTTTTCTTTTTTACACTTTTTAATAATGATTTAAAACTTAGTTGTTCCACTTTAAGCAGCTGTCATATTCCGGCAGGATCACAGTTTAATCTGTTTAATTCTTTCTTCAAATAAGTGCATTTGTTCTTAGATTGACGAGGTAAAAGAGACATTTTGCCACCAGAACAAGACAATTTACACTTAAAATAAGAAAACACAATTGAATTGTCTTATTTCAAGTGCATGTTACCTAAATGTCTTATTTTAAGTCTGTAAAGAAGAAGAAGAAGTATTTTATTTTTTTTTTTAGACTTTAGAATCTCAGAAGCTGATCAAATATCGGGTTAAATATCGGTGGGGTGGCCGATGTCCGATATTCAGTTTTAAGGCCGATACCGATAGGGGGCCGATGTTATCGTGCATCCCTAGTGAAAAGTATAAGTAAAAAGTAGTGCAGTTTGAATGACATTTTTTTTAACATTTTGGTAAACTTTGAAGGTTAAATTCACTTAAAATAATATAAACAACCAAGTGTAGGATAAATTTAGACTGGCTTTGCCAAACAGGCGTATCCTATTGGTGTGGATGAACAAGGCCAGGCAAGACCCGCCCCTGTAGTCAGTAGGCGGGGTAAAAACATTTGCGTTTCTCTCGCTCGTTTTTTTTTTTTTTTTTTTTTTTTACTTAGTAACTAAAACAAACATTGAAAATGTATCGGATTAAAAGTATGCAATTAAGTTCATAAATGTAGTGAAGTAAAAGTGAAAGTTCTCAAAAAAATGTATACTCTTGGAAAGTATAAAGTACTTCAAGGGCATATTATCTAATTATTTTTATTTCAATAATAAAAATACTAATTTCATTGGTAAATTATCTTATTTACTTGCTCAAATTAAGGTAAATACACTTAATTTAAGAAAATTTTACTTATTTTTAGATTGCTTTTCCAATGCAACCTGCGTCGGATGAATGTAGATAAATGTAAATGTTACTGTGTGTCACATGCTTGTCAGGAGGCCAAGCAGTCTTGGAGGTGGGACCCAAACTGGTTGAAAGAAGAACATGCTTTCACAAAACTTTAACTTCTTCTAGTGCAGGACATCAACCAAACCCCACCAACAACAACATTCAAATCCCCCGAAAATTCACGAAATTTTGCCCTATTTTTATATGTTGATATATTTTTATTTTTTATTAATTGTTTTATTTTATATACTATAAATACTACAATAATCCCAGAGGGAAATTACTTCTCTGCATTTAACCCATCCCCTTGGGGAGCAGTGGGCTGCCACTGTAAGGCGCCCGGGGAGCAGTGTGAGGTTAAGGGTCTTGCTCAGGGACCCAGAGTGACAGTCTGTGGGAGTGGGGGAATCAAACTCACAATCTCAGGATTCAATGCCCAATGTTGTTGTTGGTGTGGTTTGGTTGATGGATTCAAAGCCCAATGCCCAATGACAGACATGTTTCTTAAATTGAGAAGGAACTAAATTGGAAGAAACCATTTTTTAAAAGGCTGTTCAGCTTCACAATAAGAAGAAAAGGAAAATTTGGTTTAAACAAACAACTACATAAGAAATACTTTTACCAATAAATACAGAAACAAATATATTAATTCAATCCAAACAAATACTCAGATTCAATAAAGAAAACACCATACATCAGATCAACCTCCCCCCTCTTCAATTATCCAATGGTACAGTCCTGTACACACCTGCTTGGGAGAGTGAAACAGCACAGGTGAGTATTTCAAAATATTTTAAATCTTTAAGCCATGAATGTCCCTTTTATGGATAGATAAACAAAAACAAAATATTATAAAGTGAATGTACCTTTTTATAAAAATGAAAAGAAGATGTGAACAACCAAAGAACCACAACCCAAAACAACAAAAATAAACCAATGTAGAAAACCAGATCCTGTGTTTAGCTGCTACTTTGGCCAATATAAAGGTAACAATGGGTCATTGTTACACTGTGACATAATAATTTACCATATTAGCTGATAAGTTGTCTAAAAAACGCAGCTTACCCTTAGGATGTAAACTCCGGATGAGACGATGAGGACGCTTCCAAAGAGCCACTGGCTGATTGTTCACTGAGGTTTTTAGTTCCTCTGCCTCTGAGGTAAATCAGCTGCTCCACTTCATGCCGCCTCTGTGTGTCCCTGCAGGATGATGGTGTTCGGCGTTCTGACCCTGATCCTGAGCTGGACCTCTCTGGGCGCCGACCTCGCTGCAGCTGTGGTGAGATGATTCCCTCCCTCTGACTCAATGACAGCGCATTACTCACATTACCTGATGAAGAGAGCAAGACTGGCTATTCAGTTGTTTTCACCTGATATGACCCAAAGGTTACGCTGCAAAAACGATCTAGAAATAAGTAAAAATGTCTTAAATTAAGTGTATTTACCCCTAATTTGAGTAGGTAAATGAGATAATTTGCCAATGGAATGAGTATTTTTACTCTTAAAATAAGATAATTAGATAATATGCACTTGAAATAACACAATGCAGTTGTGTTTTCTTATTTTAAGTGTAAATTGTCTTGTTCCATTGGCAAAATGTTTCTTTTACCTCCTTAATCCAAGAACAAATGCACTTATTTTAAGAAAAAAATTACTTATCTAGATTCAGATTTTTTGCAGTGTAATAATAATAATGGCAAATGGGTCAATTTCTCTCATACCAAAGGTTGACCATGGTTCTCTTATAATGTGATATCAATCGATTCTAATATTACTCAAATAAGTCTTAAAAGAATGGTTGGTATTAGTTGAAAATCACACTGAAAAAACAGAAATAAGTAAAAAATATTCTAAAATTAAGTGTATTTAACCTTAATTTGAGTAGATAAATGAGATTATTTCTCAATGAAGTTAATATTTTTACTATTAAAATAAAATAATTAGATAATATGCACTTGAAATAAAGCATGAAATAGTTTTTTATTTTATTTTAAATGTTAATTGTCTTGTTTTATTGGAAAGGTGTCTCACTCACCTCCTCAATTCAAGAAAATGTGCATTTATTTTAGGAAAAAATGACTTATTTAGATTAAAATGTTTTGCATTGCGAAGATGAATGACTTAAATCGTCAAATATAATTCTATTCAGTTTATTTCTATAGCTCCAATTCACATCATGTCATCTCAGGTCACTTTCCAGTTCACCAGATCATCCAGTCAGATTGATTCAAAGTTTTCTATCTAAGGAAAACCAGCTGATTGCATCGACTCATTGACTCTTCAGCAATCCCTCACACTAAGCATGCTTGTAGCGACAGTGGAGAGGAAAAACTCCCTTTGAACAGGAAGAAATCTCCAGCAGAACCAGGCTCAGTGTGAGCGGCCATCTGCTGAGGCTGACTGGGGTTCAAGGAGACAGAAGCAGACATAGAAAAAGCAGCATAGATACAAAAGGCAACTGTCAACCAGCTCCACAGGCGGCCCCGTCCAGGAAACACACAGCCAGGCAGACGAGCTCCGAGCCAGCTCCCATGTCAGAGGATGAAGAGAGCACATCCAGTTAGTCACAGTCAGAGAAACAGGACTACACTGAAAAACAAGCCGATCTCCAGCATCTATAAACAAGGGTGTTGATGGAAGCAGCACAGCTGATGTTTCTCTCCAGATACTATTCTGCAGAATTGGAGAATAGAGAGAGAATGAAGCAGAATGATGAAATGGGGGTCCCTATGCCAAATCATTTCTAAAAATAACCTGAACGCTAAACAAACAAACCAGCCTCCCGTTTTCTTCTAGATTTCTTGCTTTTAACTGTCGTTTCACAGCCTAAATGAAACAAAAATGTTTCCTTTAAAATTACTTCTTATGTCTGTGATTATAAACATCCCAACAGATCTCATTACTATATATTTTATTCAAACAATCAGATCCTTCGATTCTGATCTCCAGCATATTGCGAACAGATTAGATAGAAAGTCAGATTAATTGGACTCGTGTCTTCTGCTGGTTACTGACTCACTGCTCAGAACTTTACCAAAAAATAAGCCTCAGAAATCCCAAAGAATATCTCTAAGATGTTTTTTTTTTTTTTATAAAGAAAGCAGATTAACCTTTGTTCAGTAATGAAAAATATTCTCCTTTACACAGGGGCGGATTTAGGAAATGTGGGGCCCTAGGCAAAGACAGGCAGGGGGCCCTCTGAATGGAGAAAAAATATTGATCCATTAAAATATCCCAATATCTTCATATGCTGATATATTGCCATTTAAAAACACCATATCAATCTCTTTTACTAATGAAATATTGCTATATGTTGTCGTTATGCTACAAAATCCCCCGAAAATTCACGAAATTTTGCCATATTTTTATATGTTGATATATTGACGCGGTATCGATCTATTTTACTAACAAAATCTCACAAGAATTTGCAAAATATCACGAGAGTTTGTAACAGAACGATGAAATTTCACGAGATTTTGAAAGTAAAATAAATCGATACCGCGTTTTTAATAATCTATTTGATATCAGCATATGAAAATATATTTGAGTTTATTATTTTTCAAAGTGTCAGAAATGGATAACAAAACTGCTATTTTCAATGACTACTTATTTTTGTCCAGCTTTAACATCGGTATCGATATCGGTTATCGGCTACATGAGTTTTAAAATATCGGCAAAAATCCCAATATCGTGCATCCCTACTAATTTGATGAACCTCTAACCAAACTGAACTTTGAGTGAATTCTGTCGCTCTACTTTCATTATCTCACTCCCCCTCCTCCACATGGAGAGAAAGTGAAGCCCTTCTATGTTCGGTGCGGAGGCTTCGCTTTCGTTTGCATGTCTTGGATCTTTGCAGGTGGTATGACACACATTTTCCTATCAGCAGCAGACAGATGCAAGCATGTCATGCTGGGGATATTCTGTCTGTAGGTGTTCTGTAGTCTACAGCTGGATTATCGCCTGAGAGGATTATAAATATTTGCATAATGAATAAACGCCTTTAGAATATGTTTTCTTATAAGCTGGACGCAGTCAGAACTCTGTATTCTCTCGGTTTTCCGTCTGTCTTCTTGGGAATTCTCACACGCTCGCCCCGCTGTTAGCGAGCTCCTTTGCTTCCAGCACACGGGGTTGGGCTTTTCTCAGAGATCCAGCTTGCTTTATCTCATCTGAGTGTTTGGGGCTCATTAGTGTAACCCCCAGAGAAGGTTAAGCTATGTGCAGCGTGTTTGTCCTGGGCCCCTGGGACATTTAGCATTCAGCCAGCAGAGTTCAGATGAGACTGCAGCTCATCACTTTTATTATTTTTGCCAGTGCAGCTTTCTCGTTAGCTACTCTGTGGAGTAGTAAGAGTTGCCGTGAGCGACAGAACGAAGAAGCAGTTCTGTCCGGATGACGTATTATTTCCTTGCTGGTCAGTTAGATTGCCTTTTATTTGACAGCACTGGTTTATTTCTATTGATTGTAAAACCCACCCCCCCTGCTCTAAATGTGGGGCTTTTTTTCTTGTTTACATCTCAGAGGTTTATGTTTGTTTTGTTTTCAGGGAACAAGCGATTTCTGCGTCTCACCCGATAAGTACGTCATGGGTCAGACCAAGGGGATCATCACAGCCGGTGAGCCTCTGAGTTGAATAAAGAGGAAAAGTTACGTTTCATGTTGTGTTTGTCACCATAACAAATGTTGATGTTTCCTGCAGATATCGTCCACTACTACCTTTACTGCAACCAGACTCGCTCCAATCCTTTCCAGCAGGTAGGAGATCTGCTACAACTCAGACAACAGTGAATACACTGCAAAAACTATCTAAAAATGTATTAAATTAAGTGTATTTACCGTACTTTGAGGTGGTTTGACAATGGAAAGAGTATTTCTACTCTTAAAATAAGATAATTAGATAATATTCACTATTAATAAAACAATATAATTGTTTTTTTCTTATATTTAATGTAAAGTGTTTTGTTTCATTGGCAAAGTGTCTAACTTACCTCCTTAATTGAAGAAAAATATACTTATTTTAAGAAAAAGTCCTGAAGTCCAACATTATCTCCTTCATCTTTTCCACATTCAGGATCAGGTCCACCAGTACAATGCAGAACAGATTGATTAGAGCTAATTTTATATAAATTAAATCGAATTGATGCAGCCTTGTGGTGCTTCACTACAAACGCCCTTCCAGGGACACAGAGGCACATTCAGAAGCGCAGTGATGCAACGGCACCACTATGGCATTAATAGAGACGCTCTACCTTCGATATAAAGGAAGCAACAGTTGCTGGTTGTGAAAGACATTTCGTTTTGCCTTTACTCGACTTACCTCAGATGTTAAAATCTATCCATCTTCTGCCACGCTTTAAACCCTGGGGGTAGTGAGGGGTGCTGGCGGGGTCCACCCTGGACAGGCTGCTGGTCCGTCGCGGGGCAACACAGAGACAAACAACCATTCACTCACACCTAAGGAGAATTTAGAGAAGCTAATTAACCTAATAGTCATGTTTTTGGACTGTGGGAGGAAGCTGGAGTACCCGGAGAGAACCCACGCAAGCTAAGGAAAAACATGCAAACTCCATCGGGCCGGAAACAGAACCCAGAACCTTCTTGTTGCAAGGCAGCAGTTCTACCCACTGCACCACCGAGCAGTCCAGATGTTAAAATGAGACTGATAATTCTGAAATATTCAAAAGTGGAGATAAACTACGATAAAATCTGTAAAACAAACTATTTTCTAGAATAAAACGTCAGGCCATTAAAACGAGCAGAGTTTCTTTAAACCTGAACATCGGTTATTTCTGTAGTTCTTTGCTCTCTGGGCCTCATTGCTCGGCCCCTCAAGCCTCATCTTTGTCAGCCTCCTTTTTTTTCCTGCCCCTTCCTGTCCGCCCGAATTATGTCCACACTTCAGCAATCACCAGATTCCGATCTCTTTCTTTTTTCTCTTGTGATTCTTGTTCGCTAAAGCATACCTAAGTGACACAATGCAGCAAAGAGAATGACTGTTAAATAGCTTATTTGATGAAGCAGAGTCTGGGTTTTTTCACTTCCTGCTCCAGTTTTTTTCTTTTGCAGTGGCCAAACAGCTCAGGGCTTATTATCTCGCTCTTGACATGTTCCCTCAGAGTAGCAATGGAGAGGCAGCATCCTCCGCCTGGTAAACAAGCTCTCTTGTCTGCCACACAGTTCGCAAACCAGGCGTCAAACGCATAAGAAGCTGGAAGCAGATCGAGCAAAACACAAGCATTCCTTCTTTCTTCTTTATTTCTGTTTTTCCACTTTCCTGGACGTCTGACCAAAAGAACATAATCAAAATACATCTTTGCTGCAGGCATCACTGCTGTGATGATCCTCTCTTTTTTATTATTCCCTATGTTTGTGTCTTTCCATTGCTTCTCCACGCTGTCGTTGCTTCATTTTCTTTGTTTTTCACAGAGTAGGTTTATAACGGCTACAAATGACAAATCTATTACACCTATTGTAGTTTTTTAGCTGGAGGCCAAAAGAAAAAGAGTCTGAAGTCATTACATTTATAGATAGCTGAGGTAATTGACCGCATCCTGTTTGAATTTAGCATTAGGCCTGGGGGGGGGCTTCCAGGTTTCCTCTGTAGATTGAGTGATTGTACGGACAATGCTTTTCTTTAAAGCAAGATGTTATATAACAAATTTTATGGTTTGGCTTAAATATCAATTTAAGAAGTGGAGGTTTGTGGTCGATGTGGAGGATTGTTCTGCGCTCTGTTGGTAGAAACACCCACAAATCTGCAAATAAGACAAAGTTTTCTTATTTTAAGTGTAAATTGTCTTGTTCCATTGGCAAAAGGTCTCTTTTACCTCCTTAATCCAAGAAGAAATGCACTTATTTTAAGAAAAAATTACTTATTTAGATTGTGATTTTTTTCCAGCGCAGGGGTGCTCAGTATGGAGGATAAAAAGTGCCAAAATTAAATAAATAAATACTGCATTAAATAAATAATTAAATGTGTCAATAATTAATTAAATGTGGAATTAAATAAATAAATGTGTCATTCATTAATTAAAACCACGTCACTAATATAAAGTGCCACAATTAAATATATAAATACAGCAATAAACAATTAATTAAATATTAATACATTAAATAAATAAGGAATCAAATATATAAATGTGTCATTAATTTAATAAAATACGTCTTCATTTTATTAAAAAATATATATATAATTATTTCAGTGTGTATTTAATTATTTCATGGTCCTGTGTCGCAGTGCATCGAAACCATTAAAAGAATCTGTCAAACTCACCCATCAAAGTTAGGGGGCGGGGTTAACGCGAATCGAGTCGCCACCTACTGTATCAGAGTATGTTCACAACCTGTGGATCACAGTCTCTGTAATCGATTTGCTTCGCCTTAATGTGCAGGGTGACCAATCAGGTGTTAGATAACCGCCCCCTTATATGCTATAATTTTTAAATATAAAAAGCAGTAAAATAATTTATCTCTGCGTTCTCTACGGAGTCATAAAGGGGTCAAAATGTTGAAAGTTCAAGTGTAAATGTCAGGATTTTGCCAAAAAGGCAAATAAATGTTGTGTGTTCACTAAATAGTTGGAGTTCCCACAGTCCATGAATGCAACATCGGGACGTCTCTCTAGCGCTGCTGCAAGCTGTCAATCATGTTTCCCCGCCCACTCCATCAGATTGGGGTTTAAAATCTGAATGTGAAAAAAACGGATTTGAAAGAGTTAAATAAAAATCCTGAAACTGAAAAAGGTATTTAAAATTAAAAAAAGAAATAGATACTTTTTAAAATTTTATTTAACCTTTATTTAAATAGATAGATACTGAAAGAAAGCGATTTGAATCTGAAAATCTAAAACTGCAATAAAAAAAGAAAAAGTGTAATTAAAATCCTAAACTGAATTTAGATTAAATTCTAATCATTTAATGTTTACTTTTTTAGTTTCTCATATTATTTGGTAAAACCTTCATATTAAATATCAACTTCTATTTTTTCAGTTCCAACTAAGATTTAGAAGTTTACAAACATTTTGTCCCCTTTCTGATTCCATAGTTCTCCTTCATTTTCCACCAGTAGACAGCAAATAATGCATAAATATATTGTATAAAAATCTGTGTCAATAATAAAAAATTTCAGTTAGATTTTTATATTCAGATTAAATTAAGACCATTAAAAGACATCTATAAATCTTGATTATTCTCATGAGCCCCTTGAATATAGTATAAATGAATAAAAAATAATTTCTCAGGGCCAGCGTAAAAAAAAAATCTGTGCTTTAATAAAGTTATAGTGAAACAGGACAATATCTTCACAATCCAAAAACCTATTTTCTTTTAATTTGTACCTAAGATACAGCTTTGCTTTTTTTTGCTTTAAATTGCTATTATTTTGAGAAAATTATTTTTTAATGTTTTAAAGTTAATGTATATTAAAATTTTTATTAATTTCTTTTGTTTCATTTACATAAAAAATGTAAATGATTCTCTTCAGTGCATCTTTATAACAATTTTAAAGTTTGCGTACATTTTTTGGGGAAGGGGGGAATACCAATGTCCTTCATGGGGCCCCAAATTCCTGGCTGCGCCCCTGTATACTCATCACTATTAAAGTTATAGCTTAATGTCCTTTTATTTATAAAATACTAGCATATTCCCAATATCTGTATGTGCTGCTCTTCATTTGCATGCCGTTAAACAGTTTTTCTCCTCCGTAGCCTCTGACCATCTTCCAGAGGTCCCTCACCACCATGCAGATCCAGATCCAGGGTCTTCTGCAGTTTGCTGTGCCCCTGTTTCCTACAGCCGAGGTGCCGTTCGTAAATACAGCTCTTTTATCACACAGCTGCTCCAATTGGAATAATTGCTGCAGCCTTTTCAACAACTTTGTCTCTCCACACAGAGGGATTTAGTGGGTATCCAGAATTTGCTGAACTCCTCGGAGGCGAGTCTGCACCAGCTGACGGCTCTGCTGGACTGCAGGGGGCTCAACAAGGTTTGTTCACCGCCGCCTAATTGGCATCGCAGTAACACAAAGTAGGTAATCTTAGACGCAAGTGGACCTGAAATAAAGCAGAAATATAAAAGCATTTAAATTGATTTTTTTTAAGGATATTTTGCAGAATCGCGTTAAATTCGACACCCGTAACGAAGAGTTTTACTGGTTCTATACGTTTTCACCCAGAGGCTGGCTCTGATTGCTGCTCAAACATGGCCGCCGGACTGAGGGCAACAGGGACGCTGCTCGTTGCCGGCGGATCTTCATGCTCTGTCTCTGACCTCTTTAGGACTACCTGGATGCAATGGTGGGGGTGTGCTACGACGGTGTGGAGGGTGTGCTGTATCTCTGTCTCTTCTCCATCCTGGCTGCCTGTGCCTTTACTGTCATGCTGTGTGCCATTCCCAGAGCTCTGAGACAAATCGCCAGCAGGTCAGTTTGTTCTCATGCTCACCTCCCTGCCCCCCCCCCAGAGTGTGCCCCATTTGCACAAGAAGCACTATTCCACATCTGTATCACATGCAGCTTTAACACATCACTGAAAACATAGATCATTTTTTTTTTTTTTAAGTATACTTTAATTTTTTATTATATTGATAGAAATAGAGTCATTTATTTTAAGTTTTTTTGTTTGTTGGCTTTAAACTAACTGAAAACCAACATTTAGAGTCATACCCATAGCAGATTAGGCTGTAAAGTAAACAATAAATTTTTACATCTTTCATCTGGCTGGAAGTTAGTTTTAAATGACTTCATTATCACTAAAAAATATTTGTTAAAAAAATAAAAAATTTGCCACAATAACTTTTGGAAAGAATTATAGGCTTTTTTCCTTCCACTCAACTTTCTATTAAAGGAAAAGTCTGGTCAGCGAGGAATAATCAATGGATCATTATTTACACCTAAAACTAATACGTTCGCCGTGACTAATGAGTCTGGGAGCGGCCATTTTTGCCAAGATATAGTAACACCTTCTTCCTGCTATCTTCCAGCAGTGACGTCACGGTGCGGTAAGCCTAGCGCCATTCTCCACGCTTTACAAGCAAAATCAATGGGAACTACTAGACACATCTGCAATCAACAACAATTATTGAAGATTTCCAGAGGACTTCACCATTGAAATTCACCAGAGCTATAGTGAAACCGACAATGCCCACGTGCATGGCAGCTGGATGCTGGAATACATCGGGTAAAAGTGAAAAAAAAGAGTTATTCCACCTTTCTGATTCCTGATCCTCCACGGACGGGTTGGTCGTTGGATCGCCAACTTGAAGAGGGAGAATTTGCCATCGAACTTCTGGCCAGAGAAAAAACCCGTAATATGTAGCCAACATTTGGAAGAAGAATGTTTTCAAGATGACTTGGATAATAGCGCGTTGTGACAAACACCAGATACAGCACTGGGACTTGATCAACAGCCGATACCGCACCGTGACGTCACTAACCAGTAGGTGGTAGTAGTGTTCTTTGACAAACATGGATGCCTCCAGTAAAGCACATTCACATGGAAATTACTCTGAATTAAAAACACTGATCATTTATTGAACAGGATGTAATAATTTTATATTTAAAGTACTTTCAGAAGATTGAATTTTGAATATGAGAGGACTTTTTCTTTAATGCACATGGATTCAATGACATGTAGAACTTCCAAATCTGTTTTCCAGATTATTTGATCCAAACATAACTTTTCTGTCATTAAAATCCTTCCTTTGTGCTCTTCTGTAACATTTTTATTCCTGTGAAACTAAATTCTGTGTTTTCATCAGTTAAAAGCCAGAAGCGTCATAGTGAGAAGGAAAAAAAATGCTTTGGTAGAACCAGCGTGTGTGGAATAGAAATGCGTTTTAGTCCAATTACCGTTCAAATATGTTAACATTTATTTTTACTGCAATGGGAAAGTCATTAAAAGGAGGCTTAGTTGTTTTTTTTTTGTCATCCTTGCTTGTAGAGAACGAGATTATGATGATATAGATGAGGAGGACCCGTTCAATCCCCGGGCCAGGAGGATAGGCTCCCAGAACGCCAACCAGGCTAACCTGCACAGCTTCTGCAGCTACAGCAGCAGCATGGGCAGCCAGAACAGCCTGCACCCCCCCGCACCGGCTGTCTCCAACCCCCCTGTCTCTGAGTACATGTACGTGGGGAAAAAGCTTGTTGTATTAGCTGCCTCTCTTTACCACTTTTTTTCTGGTTTTTTTAACCGTCTTTGTTTGTTTGTTTTTGCAGGAACCATACAGCCCTTTTTGGAGGAAACCCCCGATATGAGAACGTGCCTCTGATTGGACGAGGTTCTCCGCCTCCCTCGGTGTGTTGGGTCCCACAGACCAATATTATTTCCCTTAAAGCTTAAACATGTAGGTGTGCACAGGTTAGGGAGGGCCCAGTTTAATTACGTTGGATAAATGTTTTTTTTATATTTTTAAATGGACGTATCGATAATTAAAATCATTTTATTTCTATACCGCAACACATTTCATGCACTTTACAGAGACAATTAACCAGATCATCCAGTCAGATTGGTTCAAAGTTTTCTTTCTAAGGAAAACCAGCTGATTGCATCGACTCATTGACTCTTCAGCAATCCCTCACACTAAGCATGCTTGTAGCGACAGTGGAGAGGAAAAACTCCCTTTGAACATGAAGAAACCTCCAGCAGAACCAGGCTCAGTGTGAGCGGCCATCTGCTGAGGCCCACTGGGGTTCAAGGAGACAGAAGCAGACATAGAAAAAGAAGCATAGATACAAAAGGCAACTGTCAACCAGCTCCACAGGCGGCCCCATCCAGGAAACACACAGCCAGGCAGACGAGCTCCGAGCCAGCTCCCATGTCAGAGGATGAAGAGAGCACATCCAGTTAGTCACAGTCAGAGAAACAGGACTACACTGGAAAACAGGCCAAGCTCCAACATCTAGAAACAAAGGTGTTGATGGCAGCAGCACAGCTGATATTTCTCTCCAGGATGGAGTCACAGCCAAACAGGAACAGACCAGATGAAGCTACTATGAGAAAAAGCAGAGAGAGCAGAACGTTAGAGATTGAACTAACAGATTCTGCAGAGTGGGAGAATAGAGATAGAATGAAGCAGAATGATGAAAAAGGGGTCCCTATGTCCTCCAGCAGTCTAAGCCTATAGCAGCACAAATGCAGAAAATAGCTCAGGATAACCAAAGTATTTTGGAGAAAGATAGAGCACTGTTCAATTCTGTTAAACAGTTAAAGTCAAAATAATTAGTTTAAAAGTGACAGTTTTGTTTTTTTTAAGGGGATTGTAGTCTCATTTCATTCTATTCTGGAGAGTAAACCATAAAGGGCCCAGCAAGAAAAGGCTTGAAACCCATAATGTAGCCTTTATAGCACCACAGATTAACTCAGTGGCTCAGATAACAGATACCTGCCTTTGTTTTCTTTGTTTTTTCACATCTTTAAAATCCGACCTTAATAATGAGGAAATTAAATGATACAATAAGCACATATGATGTCATCTATTTCCTACATATTTAAGTAAATTGATAAAGCTGTATACTTTTAGACTTAATCACTGGGTGAATTTAATATTTCATTAAAGTGAATCTGATTAATGAAGGGAAATACTACATTATTAAACAGTCTATTTGTTTTCTTTAAAATGACTGGAACTGTAGCCTCCTTTCGCAATTAGAATCAGAACAACGAACGATTTCCACACATTTATTGAATTTCATGGATGTTTGAAGACTGACGTGTCTCAGTTCTACTGATTTAGAAAAACTGTATCTCAGTATTATGTATTATTTCATGTCTTTACTGAGAAACTGGACAGTTCTTTGCTGTCAGTAAAAAACGGTTTTGCTGACATAAAAAAATGAATCAATGCTCTTAATTCATTAGACCTTACAGTAGCAGCTATTCAAAATGGCGTTTCCCAGTCAAACGCCAGCAGAATGGCCGCCCACTTCCCTGCAACTCCCAGCGAAATCCCCTCCAACTTCCAGCCACTGGCCTTCTCCTGGAGGTGCAATATTTTTTACCCTGACTCCACCCTTTCACTGAATTACAGGTTCTGACCAGGAGATGGCGCTCCTCTTTAGATCTTTTTGTCCAAAAATCACGACAGAAAGAATATTTTAGTACAAACATTGATGTTTAAAAAGGAATCGTAGGGGAACAGCCAAAGGTCCATCAATAAAATGAGGAAATTCTGAATGTGTTTCATTAAAAAGTGCCACAGGTCCTATTTTTCCAGTTACAACAAAGCGATAAAAATAGGAATGATTTTAATTAAAGTTTAATTTCGCACAGTTTTTCAGAAAACATCCTGAAGTCCGGTAAATAGGCAGGAATGTTAAAAACATCTTTTATATTTAAAATCCATTTCGGTGCTACGTCTGTGTGTTAGAAGATCCAGCAAAGATTTTAATTTTCTTTATTGTTTCTCCATCCTAATCTACTAACAGGACATCAAACTGATTATATAATGTTCTCTGCCTTATTATTTTTCCTAATTACCACTAGCAAATAATGCCCCCCCCCCACCCCATGACTCTAACTGTGCAGCGCCATGCAGCCGTCTTCAGCTAACTGCTTCTTTTAACATATTTCTTTATGCGTTTGTTTGTCGTGTCTGTTTGTTTTCTTCATTTCTTTATCCCCTCTTTCTTTTATCAACTGTTGAAGATTTACTCTCAGCCGTATAGAAATCCAGTAAGTCTTTTTCTATTTCTCCTCAGATTAACTCTTTCCCACCTCCTCTGTTGTTCAGTATATTTTCACCTCTGTGTTGCTTCATATCACTTTGGTTCACTGTTTTTTGCATGGCTCTCCACCTCACTACTACTTATTAAAGAACCTAAACCTCTCATAAAGAAGGTTATGTCTCCCCCTGCTGTCCGCAGGTTGGTAGCTCTACTGTGCATGCAGGTTTTAGTTCAGTTACTGCAATCAGGCTGCATCTTCATTTTAATATCATCAAAAAGTGTATTTATTTCAGTTATTCTATTTAAAAGGTTTAAACTCATGTAAATTCATTATATAAATTATATTAAAATAAAGAGATGATTTTCCCAGATCTCTGTATCCTTAGAGAACCAGATAATGGGGCTGTTGGCCGTGTGTCCGGGTCCCAAATGTAACATTTTCCGAAAACTTTTCAGAGATGAAAACAATCAGCGCTTTAAAATTTCCCCTGCATCTGGTTCCACAACCTTTGATAAAACACTGCTGACCAGCAGGGGGCGTAGTAACCAAAATCATCGCAGTTTTTAAAGGAAAAGTCCGGTCAGCAAAAAATAATCAATAGATCATTATTTATACCGGAAACTAATACATTCACGGTGATTTAATGAATTTAGCTAAAAAAGCTAAAAATGATGTTTTTCATTGCGATTCTCACTACGCAACGGAGCCCCTAAAGGGACATGGAGGAAAAAATAAACTTTTGCGGGATCCCACAATACTTTTGCGAGATCTCGCAAAAAATAAGCTTTTGCGAGATCTCGCAAAACTATTGCGGGATCTCGCAAAAGTTATTTTTTTTCCCCTTCATCTCCCTTTAGTGGCTCCATACTACGGGACCCCTAAAGGGACAAGGAGGGGAAAAATAAACTTTTGCGACATCTCGCAACACTTTTGCAAGATCTCGCAAAAAAATAAACTTTTGCGGGATCTCGCAAAAGTTCTTTTTTTTCCCTCCATGTCTTCTCCCTGCACCTAAACAGACTTTCCTAAATGCCAAATCTATCTCATCCTTCAGCTCAATTCTTCATCAATATGATTTAGATTTATAGCTTAAAGCAGCACCTTATCATTATAAACATGAGTTTTACTTTTTGAATTTACTGAAATAAAGAAACGATGCTCATTAATCAGCGATGCTCATTTATTTCAGTGCAGGTACAGCATCTCTGATCATTTCAAGTAGCAGAGATGCACATTATACATAAATAAATTAGCAGAAATCAATTTAGTTGTTTTAACTATAATAGATTCAGTTTTAAGGAGATATTCCACTGAAAATCGGATCTTCTGCTGAATCTGTGGACATAAAGCTTCTACTCTGCAGAAAATTGAAATCTAAGTCATTTTTTCCTTAAAATAAGAGATTTTTTTTTCTTGAATTGAGGAGATAAGAAAGACACTTCGCTGATGGAACAAGACAATTTATTTTGAAATTGGAAAAAAACTATTGTTTTGTCTTATTTCAAGTACATACTATCTAATTATCTTATTTTCGTAGTAAATATACTCATTCCATTGACAAATCCTCTTATTTACCTGCTCAAATTAAGGACAAATACACTCATTTAAGAATTCTTTACTCTAAAACGAAAACGATCTATATCTGAGTAAAAATGTACCCTTAATTTGAACAGTTGAATAAGATGATCTGCCATGGAGTGAGTATTTTTATCCTTAAAAGTAGATAATAATATAATATGCACTTAAAAATAAGACAATGGAATAGTTTTTTCTTATTTTAAATGTAAACTGTCTTGTTCCATTGGCAAAATGTCTCACTTTCCTCCTCAATTCAAGAAAAAAATGCACTTATTTTAAGACAAAAATGAATTTTAACTTTTTGCAATGTACAGCTTGTCTCTCCAAAGGCCTTAATGTTTAATGAAGTGGATTTTCAGTGGACTTTTCCCCTCTATTGTCTCTAATTCCTCACCCTTCTCCCAGCACATGTGTAAAAATACATCTTTTTTATGTCTGTGTTCATCTTTCCTCCAAAGTACTCCCCTACGATGAGAGCAACTTACCTCTCCATGACTGAGGAGCAGAGTCGACACTTTGGAAGCGACTTCCAAGCCTAGACCTCGATGCGTGACGGAGGGAACCTGCAGTAAAGGAGGAAGCAGCTGTCGGATGGCTCACGGAGGACAAACCTGAACATCTCTGCAGTCCAGAACTGCAGCGTTTGCAGCTTCGGGCCGAGTGGAATCAGACTACAAACTTCTGTGCAGTTCTGCGCTGCGGTGCCTTGCAGAAATAGTCATACCCTGTGATCTTTTCTCGTTTTTCTTGTGTCACATTTAAAGAAAAAAATTTAAAATATTTTATCAGGTTTTCATGTACGAGGAAGTATTAGGGCCAGGCTAGAGATTTTCTTCCTTTTATTTAGAGAATAAAGTTGTAATATTACGAGAATTTTATGACTATTCTAGTTGCGACTTTATTCTCGAAACAGAAGAAAAAGAAAATCTAGCCTGGCGCAGATACTACGGAAGAGGATTAGGGCCACTGGAGAAAAAAGAAAAAAGTTAACTGATTTTTTTATTTTATTTCAGTTTAGTATGGGAAAAATACGGAAGAGAATTAGGGCCAGTGGAAAAAAAAAAACAAGTTAACTGATTTTTAAATTTTATTTCAGATAACATGGGAAAAAAGTCAGAATTCTGACTTTAATCTCAGAATTTAAAGTCAGAATTCTGAGAAAAAAGTCAGAATTCTGACTTTAATCTCAGAATTTAAAGTCAGAATTCTGAGAAAAAAGTCAGAATTCTACGAAAAATTTCAGAATTCTGAGATTAAAGTCAGAATTCTAAGAAAAAAGTCAGAATTCTGAGATTAAAGTCAGAATTCTAAGAAAAAGTCAGAATTCTGAGAAAAAAGTAAGAATTCTGAGATTAAAGTTGGAATTCTGTTAATTCATGTTAAACTGAAATAAAATTTAAAAATCTGTTAACTTTTTTTTTTTTTTCAGTAGCCCTAATCCTCTTCCGTAGGATACTACGTCGTATTTATGTAATAAAACAACACAAAGTGAGGAATAATCATGAAGTGGAGCAAAACTGACACACGTTCTTCAGATTCTTAGCAAATAAAAACATTTAAAGCCTGGCGTGTACTTTTGAATTGACAAGAACTTGGCGATACAATACGTATCACGATACGATATAATATGATACATTAACAAAGGCAATACTCTTACTCATATAAATCAATATAAATATCACTTTTTTTAATAATAATATAGCTCTGGAGAACCTCAGTAGATCTTGTTACTCTGCTGCTGCCAGTAGAGCAGTTTGGCACTTTGCTGCCATCTAGTGACTGGAGGTTCCAGAGTTACATAAAAGACAATGAAATGGATGTTTGACTTTAAGTTCTTTTTACATTTAAGATCCAGTCGGCCATATTAGGAATCAATACCAATATTATCTAATAAAAAAATGTTGGTATCTTGTCAGATGAAATAATTGATGGAATAGATTTTTCCTTCCATCCTTATTGAATTACTGCCGTTCCACTTCATTCCTTTGTGCTTGTTTAGAGTTATGGTCCAAATGCAACGTTAATCTGTCTCACTCTACAACCCTAATGCTACTTTCAGACTGCAAGTAGCAGAAGCAGCTAGTTTAGCTTAACTTTTGCTACTCAAGCTAACCTGACTCCGCCAGATGGATTTGCTCCGCATAACCATCTGGAAACCTTCCGTTGAAGTCATTTTGGGAGGGGGAGAAAATACTGGTTAGCTGATTGGCCTATGTTGGTGATAGACGGGCCAAATAAACCAATCAGATCAACGCAGCATATGACGTACTAATATAGCGACGACGAAAACACAAACACAAGCCAGGCTACTCTTGCCGAAACCAGTCGGGAGAAGAGCAAAAACATCTTTTCCTCTGAGAAAAGCCTCCAGAGCAGTGTTTTGCTCTTCTTTCAGTGAAGAAATACTCTGTAATTCCGATAAAACTTGCTCGATAGCCACGCTAACGCTAGTTTTATCGGCTGAAGCCGCCATGTTCTTTAGACTGAACTGTGGCGCTTCTCGTTGCGTCACACCTCAACCCGCCTCAAAGCCAACGCTGATTGGACGTTCGTTTGGTGAACGGCTCCAGATTTTCTTTAACGGAGAGTCTCCAGACTGATCTGCGAGTGAAACCTTGAAAGCTCGCGAGATCAGGATGGTCTCATGAGGCTAACTCAATGTGTCACATCAACCAATGAGAGAAGCTGATCTGGGAGCTGGCAGGGAGTCAGACACAGCACTGCTGATGCAGAGCGCTATGATCACTCCTCTGAAACAGTTTGTTAACGCCTAAATTAACTTCAAATGTAGAAACCTGACAGCAAATCATGTTCGCTTTTATTTTTCTGGTTACTGTAGTTTGGATTACGTAAATGAAAAACACACTGCAAAAAATCTAAATCTAGATAAGTCATTTTTTTCTTAAAATAAGTCCATTTGTTCTTAAAGTGAGGAGGTAAAAGGGATATTCTGCCAATGAAACAAGACAATTTATACTTAAAATGAGAAAACACAATTGCATTGTCTTATATCAAGTACATATTATCTAATTATCTTATTTTAAGAGTAAAATTACTCATTCCATTGGCAAACTATCTCATTTACCTACCTAATCAAGGGTGAATATACTTATTTAAGGAATTTTTCACTTATTTCTAGATCGTTTTTGCAGTGTACCTTCCAGCCGCTGCGAAAAACACCGGTTGAAGGGGATTCCCAGTGAAAGTGCATGGCCGGTATGTGGGGGTCTGAGCGTCTCAGACAGTATTTGGAGGCAGGATGGTAATCTGGATGAACTGACTGCCCACTGCAAAAGATTTAATCTAAATAAGGCATTTTTTCTTGAATTGAGGAGGCACTGTAGACACTTTGCCAATGGAACAAGACAGTTTAGATTTAAAATAAGAAAAAAAAAAAATGCATTGGCTTAATTCAAGTGCATTTTATCTAATTGTTTGATTTTAAGAGTAAAATACTAATTCCATTAGCAAATGATCTTATTTACCTACTAAAATTAAGGTTAAAAACACTTAATTTAAGACATTTTTACTTATTTCTAGATCGTTTTTGCAGTGCAGGTGGACTTTCTCACTTAAAAACATATTCAAACTACTTTTTACCCGCTGATCATAGCAAATATAGCTGCCATTGTTCCTGGCAAAGAAAGGATAGAGTAGCTCCGCCCAACGCGCATCAGGCCCACTTTCCACCGCGCAGCTAGAGCAGCAAAGATGCTTCAGCCGCGCGTCAGAACTAAACTTATGCATCAGAAATGAAGCAGCATGTGCGTTTTTGCTGCCTCTGCTGCGTACGGTCTGAACGTAGCATAACAGATTTGGTTTCTCCAGCTTCAAGCTGCATAAATGATTCCCACAGCACTATGCTTCCACCACCGTGTTTCACTGTGGGGGTTGGTCTCTACTGCTTAACTGCAGTGTTTTTCAGTAAGTTTTGGTCTTATTTCACAACTTGTTTTCATTTGTCTGCCATTTCACAGTTATGCAGGACATTATGTTGGTTTATCACATGAAATAAAATCAAATAAAAGGATTTCTGCTTGTAGATAGATACAGAGAAGTCTAGTCAAGTCAGTAGGGATACGTCTGCAGGGCGCAGCATATTAAGCTCCTGACGGACACCTCCTCCACATGTTTAGGCTCTCGCTGAACATTTGATTACCTTTTTTTTTTTATTTGTTCTTGCATCCTCCAGAGCAAAAAAGTTCAGACACATCCTAAAAGACTCGATGAGATTTCCAACCCGATTTTCCAAAGTGACGTCTTTTTTTTCTCTTTTTTTTCGTGTCTGACTTCTCGCAGCTTCCATCCAGGTTTTCAAAGATTCACAGATGAAAGCCAAATCTACTAAACATGCCGTAATGTTTCCTGATAAAGAGCTGAACGTTGTGAAGCACAAAACCACACTGCACTGGAAAAAATCTAAATCTAGATAAGTAATTTTTTCTTAAAATAAGTGTATTTGTTCTTGGTTTGAGGAGGTAAAAGAGACATTTTGCCAATGAAACAAGACAATTTACACTTAAAATAAGAAAATACAATTGCATTGTCTTATTTCAAGTGCATTTTATCTATTTATCTTATTTTAAGAGTAAAAATACTCATTCCATTGGCAAACTGTCTTATTTACCTACTTAGAATAAGGATAAATACACTTAATTTAAGAAATTTTTACTTATTTCTAGATAGTTTTTGCAATGTGGAAAAAATGGAAATCTAAATAAGTCATTTTTTCTTAAAATAAGTGCATTAGTTCTTGGATTGAAGCGGTAAAAGAGACACATTGTCAATGGAACGAGACAATTTACACTTAAAATAAGAAAAAAAACAATTGCATTATCTTATTACAAGTGCGTTTTATCTAAATATCTTATTTTAAAATACTCATTCCATTGGCAAATCATCTTATTTACCTACTTAAATTAAGGGTAAATACACTTAATTTAAGAAATTCTTAGGAGAAGCTGGTCACACTGGGAAAACAATCTAGAAATAAGTAAAATTCCTTAAATTAAGGGTGTTTACCCTTATTTCACCTGAAATAAGACAATGCAATTCGGCTTTTTTATTTTAAATGTAAATTGTCTTGTTCCATTGGCAAAATGTCTCTTTTACCTCCTCAATTCAAGAACAAATGCACTTATTTTAAGAAAAAATGAGTCACCTAGATTTAAATTTTCTTTACATTTCTACACAAGCTTTACGTCTCTGAAGCCTTTGCTGAAAAAAACTACCTTGAACTTTTTGCTTTTGTAAATTATTTGTAACATGCTTTTTTTTTTTTAAGTTCTTTTAAATTTGTGTGCAATTTCTATTTTAAATTTTTTTGTGGCAGTGTTAATCACTCTTTTCTATCGTCTAATAGTTAATTAATTTTTTATGTCTATATCTAACCCAATCGATACATAGCCTGGTAAGCTGTGCTACTCGGGCTATGAATATTAACAAAATTATAGTTATTTTCTTTAAATTCAGTCATCCAACAGCATATTTTTACAGACTAATTTTTTTGTAAGGATTTATTACAGACGTGTTGATTGATAGTATTTTTTGTAGCATGTTACACTGTAAAGGCGCTGACAGTGGTGCGTAATTCTGTCCCAAAACCTACATTCTAATTGTAAGTTAAATAAACCTTTTTCAGTAATTACTCAGAGTAATGAGTCTTTGCTTTGTAGTTGAAATAATAATAATTTTTTTTTTTTTAAGTGTGCCTTTTGAAATGAAGTCAAACTAAACTTTTGGCATGAAATTACCAACTTATCCATAATTTTCTTTACTTTAGTTTGAATGTTAAAAACCCGATGTGGATATGTGGTTTATACACTGAAAAACTATCTAGAAATAAGTAAAATGTCTTGAATGAAGCTTGTTTACCCTTGATTTGAGCAGGTAAATGAGATAATTTGCCAATGGAATTATTATTTTTACTCTTAAAATAAGAAAATTAGATAATATGCATTTGAAATAAGATGATGCTTCTGATTTTTCTTATTTTAAATGTAAATTGTCTTGTTCCACACTGGAAAAAAATCTAAATCAACATAAGTCATTTTTTTTCTTAAAATAAGTGCATTTGCTATAGGATTGAGGAGGAAAGTGAGACATTTTGACAATGGAACAAGACAATTTACACTTAAAATAAGAAAACAATTGCATTGTCTTATTTCAAGTGCATATTATCTAATTATCTTATTTTAAGAGAAAAAAATACTCATTCCATTGGCAAACTATCTTATTTACCTGCTCAAATTAAGGTTAAATACGCTTAATTTAAGAGATTTTTACTTATTTTTAGATCGTTTTTCCAGTGCATTGGCAAAGTTTCTCACTAACCTCCTCAATTCAAGACAACTTATTTGCCAATGGAATGATTATTATGCACTTCTTTTAAGAAAAAATGGCGAATAATTAGTACACTGCAAAAACAATCTAAATAATGTCTTAATTTAAGTGTATTTATCCTTAATGTGAGCAGATAAATAAGATAATCTGCCAATGGAATGAGCATTTTTACTCTCTTACTTTTTAAGTTTAACATTAGATAATTAGACATTATGTGCTTGAAATAAGAGACTGCAGTTGTTTTTTCTTATTTGAAATGTAAATTGCCTCATTCCATTGGCAAAGAGTCTAACTTAACCTGCTTGATTAAAGAAAAAAAGTTTTAAGAAGTGTAAAAAACTAAACTGCACTGTATGTTATCTTCTATCCAGTAGATGTCAGCAGAGAGTCGCAAATGTATTACTGAGCAACAACAAAACAGCCTAAAGAATGTGTTTTTTCAGGGGGGAAATAAGAAAACGGTTAAAGTCTGGTTGCCTCCGATTTAAGCCTGTTTTTTGGGGGGTTTTTATTTTTTATTTTATTAACCTTTAATTCCTTAATGTAATGGATCAAATATAACAATAACATAGGCCACTTTAATTTTAATAACCTTTTTTTAAACAATGAGCCTCTTTTATGCCTTGCAAAAACAGAACAGGGTGGGAAACTCCTGTCTTACATACAGCCAGAAAGTATTATTTGTAAGCTTTATGTGAATGATTTTCATAATGCAGTTATACCCAGACAGGAATATTTTAATTATTTTTATTCAATAAAATAATTTTATGTATACCTTCTTTTTTTTTTTTTTCCCTTCTCCATCTTCCTGCGGCCCCCCCTGGCGCCATTTCTGACATTTTGAATTAAAAAGCTTCCTGGATGGAAGAGAAACGTCTTCAAACTTGAAAATAAAGTCCAGTGGATTGTTCTTTAACTTTTTTGGTTTCAATTAGGTGTTTTTATGCTCCTGTTTCAGCTTCTTAGTTTATCTTTACATTCTAAAACAATAAAATAATCATATTGTAGAGATGGTATAGCCTAATAGAATGGGATTCTAATAGTTATGTCAATAAATATGGTGAAAACATTTGGGTGGCTGTTGCTCAGTGAAAACAGCAGCTGGAAAGTTGTCGGTTTGCTTCCAGCTTCCACTGCATGTGATGTGGAAGTAATTTAGAAGGCTGCTTCATAATGACTTCATGTCTTCTGAGGATATTTGTTCGTACTGTAATTCCCCAGAGTCCTAAAAGCCCAGCTGCTCCACACTCACTTTCTCCACAATCTGTGTTCATCCATCTGTTTGTTTTTTCTCACCCAGGTTAAATTTAACTGCTTACTTCACGGCAGATGCTGATGTAAAAATAAGTTTCTTAAAATACCTGCATTTATACGGAAGAGGATTAGGGCCACTGAAAACAAAAAAAAGCTAACTGATTTTTTTTTAATCTTATTTCAGTATAGTATGGGAAAAAAGTCAGAATTCTGACTTCTTTCTCAGAATAATGAATTTAATCACAGAATTTTGACTTTTTTTTGTGAGAATTCAGTCAGAATTCTGAGAAAAAGTCAGAATTCTGACTTTTTTCCCATGTTAAACTGAAATAAAATTTAAAAATCAGTTAACTTTTTTTTTTTTTTCAGTGGCCCCAATCCTTTTCCGTACATTTAAACAGGTAAATATGATGGAAAAGATAATTAGATTATTATGCATTTGAAATCTCCTTCATGGTCAGAATTCTAAGATTAAAGTCAGAATTCTGACTTTTTTTTACCATATAATAGTGACATTTTTTTATTTATTTTTTTCCGGTGTCCCTAATCCTCTTCCGTAGTGTGTTTTATGTGGGAAAAAAAGTTCACAAATTTTGTTTCAGTATGGGAGAGAAGTCAGAATTCTGACTTTTTTTATTGTGAGAATTTAGTCAGAATTCTGAGATTAAAGTCAGAATTCAGAGAAAAAAGTCAGAATTCTGAGATTAGAGTTAAAATTCTGAGAAAACAGTCAGAATTCTGAGATTAGAGTTAAAATTCTGAGAAAACAGTCAGAATTCTGAGAAAAAGTCAGAATTCTGACTTTTTTCCCATGTTAAACTGAAATAAAATTTAAAAATCAGTTAATTTTTTTTTTTTTTTTTCTT